TATATATAGTGAGTGGCATGTGAATGACTGGTTAAAGCTAGACGCAACTAACCCATAACACCCAATACAGTATCATCGCAATGATTATTCGATATTTGTTCGTTTTAAATCCACTCCCCGAGCTGTAAATGAGATACGCTTTGCATAATTCACGTCCGGAGTTAAAGTATGAGAATGATCATGCCGAAGATTACTAGATACGCCAATCTGACGAGCGACAAAAACCGCGAAATCGGTCGTGCCCTTCCAGTTATTCATAGACAACTATTCATCGTAAAATCTATACCTACCTATACAGTTGTACTAAGCGCATGTATGAGCGGCCTCAGTGATAACAGTTAACATCCGAAGGGAATCATGTGATCTCTTNCTTGAACCATCAGGGTCCGTAACGGTGGTTTCAGTGAAATTTTGAATTATCAATGTGAGGCCGACAAATGAGACATTTTTAGACAAGCTCCAAACGAATATGGTGAGATAGCTCAAACAATGAAGCGCGGAACGAGTAGTAAATGATTTTACTTGGTGAACAGATGCAATTAAGCGGTGAGAATAGTCCGAGGCCATTAAAAAAAAATCGATATATGCAACCGATCAATGAAGTATACTGCTTGCTTTATATATATGGGAACGAGCATTCTGTTTGCATCGATCAACGGAGGAAAGAATAAGCAAAATCGCACAATGGTAAAATTTGTACCCAGATGAGCAACTATTCGTTGTCGCAGAGGAGATACAGGAGTGACTTCATTTGGGACAGATTTTTTGTGTGAAGACTTACATCGCCTCGAATGTGCACTTTAGTAGACCTTATCTTTGATAAAACAACAGTAGGTCAATATAAGGCAAACCGTTCCACTGCAGGCAATAGACAGACAAACAAAACGAAACAAGAATCGGAAATGGCGACAAATTCCGGGAACAGTACTATGGGTTTAAAAGTTCCAGTTTCAGTTTTTACAACCATTAACTATGCACGCGCCGTGGTAATCTATTTGGCAACATGTGCAGCACCCGAGTCCAAGAACCCAGGTTTATCAGACAGTAGGCAGGACAGTGCCCATGCAGGAGACTGAGTGGTGCTTACAATGATGTTCATTCATAGCGACCGGTACAGTGAGACTAACCTGCAAAATCAACATCCATTGGGCTTTGTGGTGGAGCAATGTTGGTCGCATCCGGTGTTTTTACCATAAGTAACTCCCCTGATAATGATGCGCTCTGATTCAACTGACCGTGTTGCAAATGAGAGCCAGAACGAGGATCTCCCGAACTCGTGATGGACACGGAAAGCGGTGGAGGAAGCGGCCTACCAGGAGACTGGCCTGGGCTTTGTGATTGAAGACCTGATGCAGCAGACGTGGAACCAGGATTGATCAACCCTGGATTCACTCCCGACGACACAGATGATCCATGAGGGGGATGGTGACGCAACGAACCTCGTAAACTGCCTGGACCGCTGCTAATGGGCCGTTGAGGTGCCGTCTGAGATAGTAAACCACCGGCTCCACCTTGTGTACTACCGTTCCCTGATGTGCTTAACGGAGGCACACTGGCGAGACTTTGGTTGCTCGAACTGGCAGATAGCAATGCACCTAAGGACTCCAATTTCTCCTGAATGAGAAACAAAAGGAAACTTAGAATTATTATATAAAATGCATGGATTTAGAAAACTGACCAATTTTCTACTCCGTTACCTATCTACGTTCGTTCTAATTCATTTCTGGTTGTATCTGTTTCGTATTACGTAACCGTATTAAACCCTCGCCTGCATGGTTAATCGTTTTCCATTAAGTAACTGTTTCTCTGCTGACAGTCCCCTTTTTCTGAATCTTTGTAATTATTATCCCCTCTTCCTCGTTCACTCATCTCCACATGATTTTGGTAATGAATTAACAACTCCATCCTTGCTGCCCGAATCCATGTGATTGTGTAAATGTCCATATATGGTATTCTTCATACAACATACTGATCTATGGCCCGAGGTTCGAACCCCGCCACCGCCATCCAACTTTGGTGGTAGGCAGCTTTGCTATTGTCCGGTTCAGTACCATACATTTACCACCGGCCTACAGACAAGCACGGTGCCAACGCAACAGCAATAATAACAATAACAAAAAAAAGGGACAGGTGCATTGGGATACACAACAGAGTAAAAAGGGGTGAAACAATTAAACACGGGGAAATGAAAGATAACTGAGATAACAAATATTTTTGTTTCACCATACACCTTTTGATATTCTTTTTGTGTTGTTTGTTGTTTTTTATGGGGCACGAGAATTCGACAGACAGATCGTACAGCATTCGCGCCACTGACTTCTATTCTGCGTCATATCTCTCAGCGTCTCTAACCATAGACAATCCTCATCCCTTGGGCCCCAACTATTCTGGGCCATATCTCTCAGCGTCTCTAACCAACGACAATCCTCATCCCTTGGGCCCCAACCTGGAAAGCGGCTGCACCAACCGAAGCCAAAGCTGAAACCTGAGGTATGACGATACATCTCTTTAAGGATCGACACATACTTCTCTGGTATTTCATTACTCAACAAACAGTTCCATAGTGCGGTCTTATCGACAGAGTCGAAGGCCACGCGGATGTCTAAGAATACAATGATCGTCGGTCNAGGGTGAAGATTTGATCGATGCATCTACGACCGGTGCGAAACCCAGCCTCCTCCCGCGCAGTGTACAATCGGCGGAAAATGATGGACGCCAACAGCTTGGACGCTATTGGAATAAGGCTTATACCCCTATGATTGGCGCAGGCCGTTTTTGAAGATGGGCATAACAATCGATCCCCTCCCCCGCCAGTGTTCCACACTTTAGAGAACAGAACTTGTAGTTCTCTAACAAGCTTTATTCCACCATCTTCAAATAGAGCAGGGGGAAGGCCATCAGAGCCCGGCGCCTTGTAACGTCCCAAGGCTCGGTTCTCCTTACGGATTTTCGCCACAGAAGGTGAGTCTGTTGAAACGGACCATGGGACGTGTGCCAGAATAGCTGTANCGAAGTGCTCCGCTCAGTGTGCAAGGCATCGCTGTTGATTATGAATGGGCGAATCGTCAGCATTGTATATCGTTTCGCTCACACTCAAGGCTTTCCTACCGGTACCCCGGATGAGATGGAACAGCTCACGGGAATTACCCATGGCGGCAGCACGTTCCATTCCTGATGCGTGTTGAGACCACCATATCTCGCGGTCTCTGCGTTAGCTAGCATTAAGTTTACGTCTCGTTACGAGTCGTGTTTATTATCAAACCTAACCTATCGGGGCCTTATGTGGTTCGCCACTCCAAGTCCCAGGGATTAGGTTCCCGGTTTTCATCCCTGAACAGCAGGTCCTCATGCCTATTGGGCTATCCCCGTCTGCTGTTCATCACACGAAAGTGTGCAATGAAAAAATATTGTGCGTAAACAGCTGATTGGTAGCACACGAAATTGATGGCCAATATCAATTCTGCTCATTTTGTTATCTGTTTTATTCAAATGGATCAAAGGGAAAGGATGTTTCTGATAACAGTAGAAGTAAACAGCAACCGGGGAATTAAATTGGGGACATTTCAATCAACAACCATGTGGCCCTAACCTGAAGTGTACGTTTCTCATGCTCCAGCTTTTCCATTTTCTTCCACAATCGATTGACCAATGCCTCTTGTTCTTGTTCCAGCGCATTTTCCAACTCGATTTTTTCTCGCCGTAACTTGTCCAAGCAGTTCTGCTTATTGTTCATGTCGGTTTCCAACTTTTCAATTCGCATTTTCAGCTTCGTAACCTAAAAAGAAATATAAATTGAAAAAATGTAGGCATCACAATGAAACAATAACTGATAATCTCTCGTTTAATCACAGCAAATCTAGCCAAAAAAGAAACGGTGTACAACAGATGCCGAATCCAGTTCAGAATGAAGAATTGGACCAGCATGATGAAAGTAAAATGAATACCACCATTAAAAATTAATTGGGACTGCTTGTTCCCTGAATGCATTGATGGGCATGATTCTCGGTTTGGTAGATGGGGTATGTATAATTAGGGTTATAATGGACTGCAAATTGGTGTGAGAAACGCGGAACGTGAAGAATTCGGCGGTTTTCAGTGGTTCTGAGAATAAGAATTTCAGTTTCCAAGAGTAATTCGATAACTATTCAGTTGCGGATAGCAACGCTACTGTTTTCATAATCACATGTATCCACAGGTGATTTTAAGTAGCATTCTTCGGTCGCGATTCGGACTGTCAAATGAGATGGGATACAACAAAAAAACAGGTTAGCTTATTATCCACACAAAAATCACACTACAGGCACACTGGGTTTCTCTGAGGATTAAGGTACACTCGTACGACAATACCAAGTATGACCATACTGCTCACGAAACGTAGATACTTGCTTGGTAAACGCTTCATATACCTATATTTTTACAAACACATTACACAGTTCTCGCATACGTACTCGTTCCGAGGCAAGTCTTCAAACACCAACTGGAGCAAATGACGTATACCATGTATATCGGTTTTATATCTCGTTTTCACTTAGCTTCCGTGCATTTTGTTTATATAGAATAAAAGCTTATGTTTGGGTCTTCCTTATTCTGGTTTATTGTGTATTGCGTTACTGCAAATTACTACAAGACAACCGCATCAGTGTAACGAGGAAACAAGTACGTTTAAATTCCGAAAGTAACAGACGTACTTGGTCTTCTTGCTCGCGAGCAAGAGTCTGTTCCAAGGCCACTTTTTCTTGACGTAGTTGAGTAAACTTGCGGTTCAACTCGTTCGTCAAACATTCTTCTTCTTGTTCGTAGTTTAGAGCCAATGACTCTTTTTCTTTCTTCAATTCTGTAATTTTCTTCAACAATGTATTGCTGATATACTCTTCCTCTTGTTCCGCTTTTGCTTGCTGTAAAAATATCATTGCTTACAACTGTAAAACAACCTACGATGTTGACGCTATTTTGCCGAAGTTGTTGGTTCATTTCATTCAGACCACGTATTTTCAACTTGAGGGTATCAACTTCCGTCTTCAGAACTCGATTTTCTTGTTGTAAAGACTGGACTCGACGCTTTAGCTGTTCGTTTGTGGCCACACCATCTGCAGAACTTGCATCGGACTCTACTTCTGATGTGCTGTCCATCATGATTGTGCAGACTGACAATCGGCAAGCGACAATGGCTTCACTGGATCCGATTTAATCACCTGAACACATGCTGCGAATAAAATAAATGACGAACAGTCACCGAAGATGGTCAACAATCAGTCTGATTCCAAGTGGATACGGACCAGCTTGTTTTCATCATATACACGCATGTTATTTATAAGAAACTCTGGAGAGAATATGATTATTGATTTTACTGATGAAAAGATTAAGGCCTTAAAATAGAAAAATGTCTATGAATTAAGTGGGGTAGTTCTTGCCCAAATAGTATCAGCCACCCACGACTGTTTATTTTTGTATAAAGATTATTGTACCATGATTAGTTTGACACAGTCTGATCTCAGATGTGCATGAAGTACAATACAGATATACCGTTTGTTAATTAGTACCCCGGAGACGCGTCAGATAATGTGCACATCTGCAAACCCTATAATCGTAATGGCTTACAACCTAGAGGAGAAGAAACGGATAAACGATACTACGATTGGGAGATATTGCACAACACAGCATATCTTATTTTTGTGTGATAGGCAACCGATTGGCCACGAAGGTGTCGAGGTTGGTCACATCTTCCACGTGGTACGAAGCTATCGATGAATCCGATTTAAATTGCATAACCGAGAATGAATTACGGTCGGAGTGTGTCGGCAACCAGATGTAACTGTACAAGGCTCCTTTCGAAGTATTAACTATTGGAAAGATTTATTCTTACTACTTCTCCAATTCGAACAATAAATACAACAGTCCAATCAGAGAATGGCTTTAATCTTGATTTGCTAATTAAAACCGCAGTGAGCTGGTCTATCCCCGAGTTTTAGTCAAGCATATGCAACTGCATTATATCGGGATTTCGAAGCATCGTAAAATACGTGCAGTGGTGACAGTGTAACGGTATTGAACGGGCCAGGGATGTTGTCAGTATTATTACCGTTCCCTATTTTTCCCTTCCTTTCCAGGAATAAAACGGGTGAACATTGCAAATGCGAAAAATGAATGTGGAAGAGGGTAGCAAAAGACAAGAAAGTCCATGACTAACACGAAGATTGTACCTTGATATCCCTATACTGCTATAATAAACGTTCGTGTAGTAACTCCCTTCGCGTGCGGTATTGATGAGAGGTGAGGTCAACTGCCAGTGGTGAACCAACGTTCATTATTTTCATTTCAGAATGAGCTATTGTGGATTCCCATATGTGCTACCTGATTCATGTATCCATGTCACAACAGTCTTGAGAACGGTGTTGATTTTTTTTGGCTTGGGTAGTTTAATGTTCACTTAATCGGTCATTTAAATGGCATTTTGTCCACCGAATTGTAAAGTCTTACTGTACTTACTTTATTATGTTACACTCTTGCTTATTGTTTTATATTATTTTGTCCTCTCCCTCTAAACTTTCTCCTCATTCTTTTCAGCCCCTGTTGTCCAGGTTTTTTATCACATTCTTGTGGTGAACAGCAGACGGGGCGAACCCCATAGTCACGAAGACCTGCTGCTGCGTCATGGAAACCGGTGATCTAATCCCGGGACGAATCACATAAGGCCCCGCTAGGTTAGGTGTGGTATTTTATGTTGAATGAAGTCTAGAAATCGGGTCTTTGGCTTTTATCTGTTCAGACTTATTATAATAGCAAGGGGCTACGTCTACATTCATGTCCGCAAGTGACCATTTTAAAATTGTTGATCAATGTCTAACTTGGGAGTGGTTTCAACTCAAAAGGACTAAGAGGAAATACCGAAGCGCATCGTCGTATCAGCGTATACACCGACCGATTGCAGTATACCTGAAATCAAAGATGAATCCTACCAGGATCTCTCTCAGCTAC